TTCCCCTTTTTTTTTTTTTTTTTTTTTTTTGCTATTAACCGTGGGTGTTCGGGCCAGTTTACCCGCATATCAACTAATCACTCGGGCCCTGAAATTTACAGTCGGGTACTCATCTCAATAGTTTTGAGAAGACTCGAACTGATAATCACTGGGGAGTAAACTCAAGGCCTGATCATTGAACTACCCCTCAAGGTTTAGATTATGAAAGTTATGATAATTCGAATATTGATCAAAGTTAAAATTATTGAGTATTGTTAGAAATTAAAAAAATATATATACATATCATAATACTGTTAAAATAACTTGCTTTGTTAAATGCCAATTATACCCTTTTTTTTAAAAAGAAAATTCGTAAATATCATAACCATTTGGTGAGTAGACAATTTTTGAAGTAAATTCAGTTGTGAACAAGTAATTGTTAGATTTTATGGAAATTTATAATAGATATTCGTGTATTGATCCCATGTTATTATTATTTTATATTTTTCAAAGAATTATACTGGGTTATGATTTTATGATGATTATTGTTTTCTCCAAGTGACGAAGCATCTTTCCCAAAAAAAAAATAATAATAATAAAAATAAAAATTGAGGAGTACTAAATGATGAAAGACGTCTCATATGTTTGACTTGCAAGTATTTGATATGGTTGCATTCAATTAGCATATAAAACCTATCATTTCTTTTTCATTTTCAACGTAACGTAACATCTAGATATATTGAGTGGTTTCAGAGTATGTAACTCAGAAACATAAGGATAATTAACAAAAAAATAAAATAAAATAAAAAAATCTTTGTAAATTGGGAAACAATTTGGATTACCCTTTCATGTTTTGTAATTTCAGGAGCAGGTTTGGGATCTGGAATGGGATTGATATTGCTATTATCAACTTGCTTTTGGTTGAAAAGGTTTCTAAAGAAGAGAAAGAACAAAGAGCAAAGAGAAAAATTCTTCAAACGAAATGGCGGCCTTTTGTTGCAACAACAAATATCAAAAGATGAAGATGTATATGGTAAAATAAGATTTTTTACTTCTAAAGAATTGGATAAAGCTAGTGATCACTTCAATGAAAGCCGAATACTCGGTCAAGGAGGGCAAGGGACGGTTTATAAAGGTATGTTATCCGATGGAAAAATCGTAGCAATAAAGAAATCGAAGTTAGTTAATGAAAAGCAAGTAAAGCAATTCATTAACGAAGTTGTGGTGCTCTCACAAATCAATCACAGAAATATAGTTAAGCTACTCGGATGCTGTCTAGAGACAGAAGTGCCTTTACTAGTTTATGAATTCATTTCTCATGGAACCCTCTTCAATCATATACATGATGAGAGTATTGAATTCCCATTCTCGTGGAGTGCGCGCTTAAAAATTTCTGTAGAAGTTGCCGGAGCACTTGCTTATCTTCACTCTGCCGCTTCCCTTCCCATTTATCATAGAGACATCAAGTCAAGCAACATACTTCTTGATGAAAAGTATGTAGCAAAAGTTTCAGACTTTGGAATTTCAAGGTCAATTGAAGTGGATCAAACTCATTTAACTACCCAAGTGAAAGGAACATTTGGATATCTTGATCCTGAGTACTTTCAATCAAGCCAATTTACAGAAAAGAGTGATGTTTACAGTTTTGGAGTTATACTTGTAGAACTCTTGAGTGGGCAAAAACCAGTATCTTCTAATAGAAAAGAAGAGGAAAGGAGTTTAGCAACACGATTTCTTTTATGCATGGAAGGTAACAATCTTGACTCAATTCTTGACACTCGAGTCGCAGATCAAGATAGGCGAGAAGAGCTTATTGCGGTTGCTAAACTTGCACAAAAGTGCTTAAATTTGAATGGAAAACTGAGGCCAACTATGAAAGAAGTAGCGATGGAGTTGGAGAGTGTTCGAATGTCTCAAACACTTCCAACTACTGCTAAGACTGAATATCAAGGTGTATGGTTGCGCAAGCCAAAGGCAATATTGATCTCGGAAGATGACTCCACGAGTACTGCTGACACCACCACCCCATCATCAAATGACTATCCATTAACGATTCACACAAGTTGATGCCTCCAGTGGTTTTTATACAATTTCCTCATTTGCTGACTGTACTTTTGTAATTGTGTAGTTAAGAAGCCCAATAACATTCTCGAAAGTTTGATTTTCCATATCAGACAGTGCCATATTTACTCTTCTTTGTATAAAGTTTTGAGCTTTTTTATTTTATTTTTATTTTTTTAAACTCTTGAATTGCAGCGGAATTAGCATTTGGTAAATTAATTTGATCAGTCAACATCCCTGGTTTGATTAATCTATGATCATTGAAACAAATTCAAAGAGAATTTATTAAGATCGATCTAAAGAGTGCTGGCGCCTAGCAGGTTGTTGATCATACTGCCATGATATATTGACTATTATATATATTTTAAAGCCTTAAGTTTGGATAACAAATTGGGCTGGAATCAGAGCAACTTGGCGTTGAATCTTGTAGTCAGACAAGAATTTAGGCTGGGATTGTGTCTTCTGGTGTGTGCGAAGGTGGTGTGGATGGAATAGATCTTTTTTCTTCCCTGTTTCTGGTGGTTTTGTGAGTTAGGTTTGTAATAGACGGGCTGGTGATGAGGGAAAGCGGTGGTGGAGATGGCCAGGTTGGTTGTGGTGGTGATGACAGTGGCAGTGAGATGGGACATAGATATGGTGGGGTCTGGTGGTTCAGCGGTGATGGTGCATTGGAGTCGGTAATGAGTGAATGTGGTGGTAGATCGATCTTTTTCTTTCCATTTTCTGGTGGTTTGAGTGAAGGAGGTGCTGGTGAATTGTGGTGGTGGTAGTAACAATTAGTATTATTAGGGTCAGCAGCCACAGAGACCGTAGAAATAGGCGGTGGTGTAAGAAAAAAGGCTAATGTCTATTGAAACAATTTTTGACACCCAAGTTTTAGAGCAAGGTAAGAGAGACGAGCTTATTACAGTGTCCAGTATTGCACAAAAGTGCTTAAATTATAAAGGGGGAAAAAAAGAAAAGAAGAAGAAGAAGAAGTGGATTCCATTCTTACAGTTGTCCAAATCAAAATTAATATTGATCTTGGATGATGGCAACATCATCCCCTCAAGCCCTTGTCCCTTAATGATTCATACAGATCGATGTCTTCAGTTGTTTCTAAACAATTTCCTCTAAAATCTTGAATAAATAGAGGGGTGACAAACGTATTTAACTAAATTTGGTAATCGCATAAGAGATCTTCCACAAGAACAGTGGATTTATTGCATATTACAATTACAAGAAACTCTCAAAAAGGAGATGATAAGGGCTCTTTAACTCTAGATTGATCTGGGGAATCCATAATAGCAGCAGATGAACATTGGCAAGATGTTTCCAGAATCTGAGTATGTTCCTTGGATACATCCATCTTGTGAATTGAATTTGCATCAGAAATCACCACTTCCATCTCCTTGATTGCAACGACAGGTTTCAGTCCCTGAATAGATAGTTTGCCGTTGTTAGGGCATGTATATAGAGTATTGTTCTAGACTAGACAATAGAGTACTTGATTTATATTATCGAGCGCTCCAGAATATACCTTATCACATAAGTCATTAATATAATGAACTTAAGAAAAAAGGGAACAAAATGTACAAGTTAAATATGCATAAACATGGAATCATGATGCTAGAAGTTAAATGTAAAGGTAGCAGACATCGATGAATATGCTTGAGGCTTCATCAGCTTCCTTCTTTTGAACTATGTCTATGGCGACTTCCTGCATCATAAAGGGGAACCAAAAATTGGTTTATCAAGTGTATGAATCCCATATTGGATAAATATAAAATATATAAAACCAACGTAAAAGGTTTTTTATCCTCTTTTAAAATTGAATCTCAAGTCATAACGAGGTATCAGAGCACGGTTCAAGTCTTATCGATACCCATTTAAAATAAAAATTATCCATTTGTTAAGACTTTGATGAAAAAAAAAAATCCAACATGCATAAAGACCCTTTAGAAACTTATAGATCAAGTGGTTTAAAAGTATATTATTCAAGAAATGCTCCAAGAAAGATTGATAGAATAACTGATCAGGGAAACAAAGTTTTGCAATAAGAATTACTGTAGGTTTTATTTACATTTTCAAGTCATTTCTAATGTTGATAGTTAAATTCATCCCTTTTTTAGGAGTTCAATTAACTCTATAACGAAATGGTTACTTAATGAAGTATTAAAGTCGATGGAAACTTTAAAAAACTGGGGAAAAAGTCAGATTACACTTGGATTTTACCTTCTTCTTTTTTCAAACCACCACAAGGGTGGGAAGTATACTTTAAAAGGCGCATAAATCATACATCGGATACAAGACATATATATTTCAATGTTACATAACGAACATGGAGTTCAAGTATGCAAGGTGAAAACAGAGAGGAAAAAGAAAAATGCACTACCCTGGCATGGTGGAGCTGGCCTTGGTTCAAGGTCCGAGGCTCTGTTTCAATGGAGCAGCAAAAATTCGCCATGGATGAAACAGAAGTTCAGAAAAATTTCTCATACAAAGTATACATTTAGATAATATAGTCCCCTTGAATGCAGTTGTAATTATATAGTCAATGCTATATTTGTCCACCAGAAACTCACGGAGTATTTCGACAAAATTGAGGTGGAAAATTACTTACATTTAGATCTCGTGCATCTTCAAATTGGCAAGAAACTTTTTCAGTGAAGTTTTCAACTCTTGACTTTATGAAGCACAGATTTCATGGGGCAAATATCTTCAACTGTTCATTGGTTGGTTGAGGATTTGAGGTTACTAATAAGGTGCTTTAATATTCTGGTTAAAGTGACGTTTGTTGAGTTGAGCTATCTCGTCTCAAAGTCTAAGATTTTAGAAAAGGCTACATATAAGCAAGAAAATTGTATTCTTCAAAATTTCCCTGCATATAAGTCGACGTTGAGACTCGACCGCAATTGATAATGGAATTGCAAAAGGAAAATCTGCCTCTTCTACTCCACAATAAAAGCTATGTCCTTAGAGCCAAAGGAGTCTTGATAAACTCTAAAATACGTTTGAGACTTTTTCGTTTAGGTAAATATTATCATTTGATTTAGAGTCCATTCTTCATTAAGTCAAAATTTTAGTGTAAAATTTGTACACATGCAATATTAACACATATCAAGAGAAATGTCCAAACCCGCTCGACGTAGGTCCTAAGACTCAAGTGGAGAAGGAAAGTGTATAAACATACTAGCAAGTTACGACAATTTCCTCGATTATTTTTATATAATTGTGAGAATATAGTTCTCTGAACTCCATTAGATTTAAGTACTATTTGTGTCATTCACATGGATTGTGCTTGTCTAGTTTTATTGTAGACCATTGGATGGGATCGACGGCTGGAATTTATTCTATGTGAGATATTTTTTGTTGCTTTAGCTTGTGTGAGAAGCTTTGACTATTTTCCACCAAATAGGNGTGGTGGCGGTTTCAAAGGAGGTTCTTTGCCGGTTTTCTAGCTCTCTCTTTGGAAGGTGATTTGCATGACATGGGAGCTGTTCATGAGCTTGAAAATCAGCCATAAACAAGAGAAGTTGCTGTCTAGATTTTCGACCATTAATGGGTTGTATTTTCGATTTATGTTTCTTCCATTTTTGCCTTGGAATCTTTGATTAAATGATGTTTATTTTTTATTGAACTCCGAAATCCCAACAATAATGAATTTTAGTAGGTATGTCATCTAACTTGTCAGGAAAGTATTGATAACGAAGCCCCCGAATTAGGGATTGTGTCTATAGTCACCCCCAAAGTTCAACTTTTTATGACCAGGGTTCTTGAACTACTTTCCCATGAAGGATAATAAAGCTTGTTGAAGATCAGATTGTGGGCATCTTTCTTCTAGTTCCATGCTTTTAAATTAACAAGGGAAGTTGTCCTTGAAAAGTCAAGTCAGTAATCTTACCTTCTTTCACAACCATATGTGACTATCATAGATGGAGAATAAAGAGTAATATTTTCGACTGAATTATAGTACTTCATTTTATTATTGTTTCGCGCGGGTTAACTCGCTAACAATTAAAGGGGATCAGACGATTGTGTAAGGGACGAAACCTCTTGAGACAAAGT